GGCAGCGGCAGCTGATGGGGAGCTGAAGTCTGTTTGCTTGTTGCTTGAACTTGACAGGTGATTAGCTCGAGGTCAGGTAGCTTGGCGTAGCTTAATGTGAGGTAGGCTAGGTGGCCGCAGTATGCAGAAAGAAGCAAGTGCAGGACAGGAGCGAGCACAGCTGGAGATCGGAGAAATTGTGTGAGTGTGAACGAAGGTGAGCGAGGAAGGGTCTGCTGTGAATGAATGTGAGTGGACGACAGTCTGTTCGTCTCTCCAGGCCCATCAACTCTGGGTCGTCTGGCATCGTTCCGGAGCTGCAGGGGAATCATGGGCGGAGTGTTGCCGAGAGGAGGGAGAGGCTAGCGACAGAGGCTAGAGCCTCGGGACCATGTGGATGAGGGGGTCAGACGAAGTAGTTCCAGGTCCAGCTCCAGCTCCAGTTTCCAGGCCAGTCGATTGGGGACCTGTTGGGAACCTGAAGCGATGCATCGAAGAATTGGAATCTTTTGCCCTGTCTGGCCGGGATAATGAGTGGGTTCGATGCTGACCGGACATGGTGTGAAAAGATGGGTTCCGGTGAGCAATGTGCTGAGGTTAGTTTAGCCAGCCAGCAGCAGAAGCAGCACGAGCCGAGAACGACTGGCAGGATGCCCAAGTGTCCACGCGACAGGCATCGTGTCTCCAGCAAGCCGACACGACGGTGCGCAGAAAACCGTGCGATGGCGGAGAGGAGAGACCAGACCATGCAGGCTTTCCAGATGAGAGGTGGTGACGGGAGACGGAAGCGATGGACGGGAGATGAGAGACGGCGGGGACATGATGGGAGGGAGGGCGCGACTTCAGGAGCAGCACCTGAACCAGACCCAGAACCAGAACCAGAACCAACCCCAACCGCTATGGGAGTACTTTGATCGCTGATGGTGCATCGTATCGTCTGAGCCAGAGGCCGAACGCCAGAGAATAAAAAAAAAAAATGGTCAAATATCATAGTGATGGAGGGTATATGGCGCGCAATGATGGGGCCGGCCGCGGTCGACGTCGTTGGTGGGCGGGAGATGGTGGTGCTCGTGGCACGGAGCAGGCACGTTTGAAGTTGACTTTGAGCTGGCTGGCGGCGCATTCTGATTTGTCGCTGAGGTAAGCATCTGCAGGGGGCAGATCAGGGAGTCGCGGGTGTGTGGGTGGGTGGGTGTCGTTGGATGCACCGTCTGTCGTGTCTTGGTGCCATGCCAGACCAAGGTTCCTGCAGATGCTACGCAGTCCATGTTCTTTGCACCACCTAACGTGCCTTACTGCGAGAAGTACCTGGCTGTACCTCGCCAGGTACGCCGTAGTGGTGGCATCGCCGCGCGAGTGGTGTGGGTTGCGTTGTGCGTGCCTTGCAGTCCGTCGTGTTGGCGTCTCCTGTCTGACCTTCCAGGGTGTGCCGCCGCTGTAGTCATACCCCAAGTCGCCTTGTACCTCATGTACCTCCTCCATCTGACACCTACCGACAGTGACCAACACGGCCTCAGTCATCGCGACTGCACCTCGTCGCTCGACTTCGGCTTGCCATGCGTCTTGTCTTGTGTGTGCCTTGACTCTGTCATCGACTCTGCCTACACTGCACACCTGCATTGGACAAGTCAATCGATCTCGTGCAGTTCCTCGATGCCACTCCCGAATCGCTGCTCTCATCTTTTGCATAAGTCCCAACTATGTTGATGATCTTGACGTGCCTCATCCGAGGCTTGCTCGCCTCGTCTTCGGACCCTTGGCATCTCCTCCTCGTCCATCCTTTCCACCCGGCCTACTGCAAAGTAGTCCAGTCCACTGAGTCTTGTCGACTCCAGTCGACTCGGGCAGGTCCAGGCGTCGCCGCGGTCCTGATTCCACTTCTTCCACAGTGCTGTTCTTCACACGACCATGGCCATGAACCAGTCGTGGCAGAGACAATGGAGCCTGTGGCCGACCCGTACGAAAGACTTTCCTAGGCCCTGATAGTGGAACCTTTCCCTACTTTTTTTTTCTTTTCCTCTTTCTCCCTGGTCCTGTACAGCGTGTCGAGTCCTGTCCTGTACCCGCTGACTCGCGCCGTGACTCGCTGGATTTGGGTCCAGCCTACTGCAGGTCTGCAAGTCCATCGTAGACGCGGGGGCAGTGCCAGGGGGCTTGCAGGGGCTCGGGCTGTCTCAGATCTGTCGCAGAACAACACACCCTTGTCTCGCTTCAACCCTTCGACCGGGTTGACCGTTGACCCTAGTCCGCCGAGTCTTTGCCGTCGCCGTCACTCACTCATCCCGCGCGCTATTCTTTCCTTCTGCCGTCCAACTAATCGCTCCGGTGCGCTGTCGCCCTCTGTTGTCTGCCTGGTGCCATACCGGGTGAAGTACTTTATGGGATGTGTGTGTTTTTGCCTGTCATTCTCAGTCATCTTCTGGCCACCCAATAACTCATGAGTGAGCCAGAAATCGGCTCAGTGACAGTCAGTTCACCTCCTAGACTCCCGCAATGCATGTGGTAGCCTAAGCTTCACCTCATCACTCAGTCCCACCTGTCTACATGTAGGCCCAGAAGGCCTTGCGCCTGTCTAGCCTGCAGCTGCCAGCCTCAACTGCGTATGGGCTAACAATATCTTCGGTCTCGCTCGCATATCGAGTCTCGCAGTGGCCGCCATGCCAGAGCTGCTATCCAAACACCCTCTAAGCCGTCAGTTGGTCTGGTCCAATCTTGCCGTCGTGAGCCTGTGTGCGTTCATCTCCATCTTATCCGCCTTCGCAGATGCTGCCAGAAAAACTCAAGTCCTTGGCCCCAATTCAAATCAAGATCGGTCTGCGGCGTGAGTAAATCAAATACTACCCCGCACACCTTCTGGCGTTTGGGGCTCTTGTATGAGACGTGAGACTGGTCCGCAACTGGCCAGTTCCAGACGGCACCCCAAGGTCGACATCAAACCGGATTCTCTAACCAAGAAGCCAGCTGTCCTCTAGATCGTGTGTCCTCCGGCTGCTTATTCACCACCTCGTTGTCGTCGCAACCTTAACCTTCCTCTTCCGTGGAGGCCAGCTGGTCCGGTTTGGCTCTTGCGCCAGGAGGGTTCACTCGTGGTGACGATCCAACGAATCCGGCCTCGCGACTGGTTACCCCTCCCCCTCCCCCTCCTCCTCCTTCGCCGAAGCCCCGCGTTCCCGTCCCTTGACGCGCCTGAGGCGAGCCGCGGCCACCTCGTCTTCCGCACAATGTGATTCGCCCCCTCGTCTACTCTGTACTGATCCAGAATTGTGCCACGATGGGCCCATGTGGGCTAGTTGTCCGGAGCCACATTCGAAAGCTGAAAACTGGCTGAAAGTCGACATCATCAACCCATCGGGAAAAAGCAACTTCCTCTCCTAAAAACAGAGAAAACTGCCAGAAAAAGCCCAATCATTCAGCGACCGACCAGCCACTTGGCGGCAATAACACGCGTCATGTTAATGCCTCCAGGCTCTGGCTTCCATTTGTGTGCCTGGGTCGTTGGTGGAGTGTCGTTTGGCATATAATACAAATCCGCTATAGCTCTGGCGGACATGGGCACCTTGACAAATGCCAGAAGTCACTAGCCTATGAGGTTCGTCGGCTCCCGCCATCACATCCTGGATAGCGGGCGCGGCTTCACGCCTCGGGGGCCGCTATCCCACGGAATGTACACGCGTAAAGTGGTTCCCGTCCTCCATCGTCACCAACAGGAACAATCCGTATGTTGTTAAAGCTTGTTGAGCCTATCCGTTGGCGACAAACAAGCCACTGCGAGAACTGAGGTGGCGCTAACCACGCACATCTTCAATCCGTCAAAAACTCTCTCATAGGGCTCTGTGTGTTGTCCAGCGTTAGTGAAACTTAGCGTTGCTTTCCTACTCAGGATATCGGTCGCGGACTTCCGTCTAGACGCCGTCACACGCCACGAGATAAGTTTGACGACACAATCCTCTCGATAGATCAGATTCGTAGGTGGGAAAGCTGCTCGGCAGGTCTTGCCTTGACCTCTTCGTCTGTGCGAGAATACCACGTCTCGCGCCGGTGGCCTCCCTCAGCTTGCGGTCTCCGCTGGTTAGCTTCTACCGAGCCTTCGATGAGTTGTTCTGTGGGTCTGGCGGGCTGGCCGCTGACAGGGACTGGCCGTGTTGCTTGCATGACAACCTCGGACGTTTTGGGAAATTACGCCAACTCTCCAGCCGTGGCCGCTGTCTATAAATCGGCTCTTATGGAGATCACAGACCAATGATGACGCGACCCTTCCCCGCCATCGATTGCTAGTCGAGTCGGCTCGATAGTGGGCAGCCTACATCAGGCGGATCAATGGGGGAGGGAGGCTGACAAGATCCCATCGACAGCCGCCAGGAGAAAGGGGCCAAACAGGGTAGCGATGAACTCTGTGGTGCGCTATGTTAGTAGACGTTTTATCAACTGATGTGTTTGATGTTTACCATAGTCCGAGCCAGGCCGACGCCCTCACGGGACGGTGGGAAATGACTGGCTCGACAGGATTAGAAGTTTCCCCTGGCTGCGCATCGTATTAGTGTAACTTGACGCAAGGAATAGGAGCCGCAAATAGCCTGCCGCGGATGCTATAGTTTACGCGGCTTTTCGCTCTTGGACGCGCTCTCGCCAGATCGTGACCTAGGCTGGTATCGGGGTTTGAGGGTAAAAAGGAACTTCGGTAGAACCACCTCAAAGTGGGTTTAGAAAGACTTCGTAGCGAAGGTGAGCGAGCGATGAGGCGCTAAAGTTGATGCGAGAGCCTATGATGGATCAACCTGGAGCGTTCGTGACTAGGGATGAGGGCCACATGGCTAGGCATCTGATGCTTGATGTTGGCGACTGACAAGATACCGCCAGCTATACCTGGGCGAGCAGATTGAAGTGCGGTGGCAGTGGCCGATTGCTAGCCTTGAAAGCGATTCTTGGTCAGTTTCACAACATGGCGACTGTCAGACCGAGAAAGCGACATCCTCTTATTTGACAAAGAGGCATTGATTAACATTCAGCCCGTAAGTGCTGTTCTAGTCTTTATTGATTCTTCGCCAAACCTCTTGCTCCGCTGCGGCCAGTGAACCGCCAGCAGCAGCAGCCCACTTCTTTGCCGTGTCCCAGACACCTTCGTCCGACTGGGCGAGGGAACCTCTCTCCGCCGCCGATGCTACCGCGGCATTGTGAGCAGCTCGCTGGTGGCTGGAGAATTCAGACGCACCAACGTTTTGCTGGTATCCTGGCGGGTGTTCAAGGCTAGAAGCAGGATCGACTCCTAGCGGGATGGGTTGCGGACCAGTCATCTGAGGTCCATTAGCAGCGGTGGTAGACGTGGAAGACCCTCGCTGGGCAGACATGGTTGGAGGAGGAATGGCCATCTGAGGAGGGTAAGGAACGGTGGCCTGAGTTGCGGGCGTCGGGGCTGGAGGTTGGTAGGCCTCGCCCGCCTTCGGAGGCGGAGGCAGGGTCGACTTGTTGGCTGCCACGGGGACAGGAACTGCACCTGGCTGGGGCGGCGGCGGATGGTTGACATCATCCGTGGTGGTAGTTGGAGTTGGCCGCGGGATGGGATATGCTTGCGCCGACGCTGTCTGAACAGGGAGAGATGGGGCGGCACCAGGCTGTGCCGGCGGGTATGGCTGCTGGCGGGTGGATGATGGGGTTGCGCCGACTTGACCTTGGGATAGTCCAGCAGCGTTATTGGAGATGCCGTTGGCGTTGTCGGCGCTGGCGTTGTTGGCCTGTGCCGCCTCGGTCTGCGGAGTCGGTCCCGAAGCCTTGGAGGCGTTGATTGGGCTTTCGCTGTGGATTTGGATGGGAGGCATAGTTGGTGATGGTTGACCTCTTGGCCAAGGTGTGAGAGGAACGAAGCTGTGGGGTTGGTCTTGGGCGTGAGTGCGGGCAAGGGAGGTACTGCAGCGTGAAGACACAGAATGGCGCGTGAGAGTGTCAAGGAGGGTTTAAGTTGCTGGCTTCAGCGAGATCATGACCGTCCTTGCACAATGCGTCTCTGAAATCGGCTCGGAGTCATGAAGCAGACGTGGCACGCTGTGTGGTTTCCTCTGTGGCAGGCGAAACCTTACGTGACGACGTCATTGCTCTGGTGGTTGGGGCGTTGTCACCTGACCCGAGCGGCCACCCTCTTCCCCCAACTGCCGCCGGTGAAGGCAGCAGCAGACCTGAGCTGCAAGGCACCCGGGCAGCACCTGCGGCTTGCTTCGTACCTTACCTCGGTGGCACGCAAGCTCCTGGAGTCCTGGAGTCCTGGGCGGTACCTGCCTCGGGGTCGGGGCCGTGACCTGTTCCTGCCTCGGGAACGTTGGCTTGTTGTCATGTCCGGAGAAGGAAGTTGCTTCGGGGAGCATGGGGCGCTGAACGACGGCAACGACGATGACAGACAACAACCAACAACAAAAGAGACAGCGGCATAAACAGAGGCCCGCAGACTTCAGGCGCTAGAGTACCAGAAAGGCAGCTGCTGATTGTCACCTTGACAAGGCCATCATGCCCAAGACGGGAAATGGAAATGTTGGATGTGAGGTGTCTCTATCTTCCTCAAAATCACTCACCTCAACAGACCGGCCTGGTGCACTTGCGCGCTGGCAAACTTGGAGGTGGACGGAGCTCCCACCGAGAGTTCCCGGGACATGCTGGCCACGAGGTTTCTCGTTTGCACTTTGATTCGGCGGGAGCTGTTGTGTCAAGTTCATCCACTCGGTCGCTGCTCAATGCAAACAAGCAACAGTCAACTTAAGCTGTAAAGCATGGAGCGGGCAGGCCAGATACGCATCCAAGGCCGAACCAGGTGGCCAGAAGTGAAGCTCATGACCAATGGTTTGCTGCCCAACTGAAGCCGCAAGACGGCCTTCTCCCGGGAGGTGCTTGGACCGCGTTGAGTCGCCAAAAACTAAGCTTCTTTCCCTACCCAACTGAGGTAGGGAAGGAGCGGAATCGTGTCATTCTCGTCTTGATCTCAACTGTGTCCAGCTGTGCACGCCATGCAGCGACACCACAAGGATCACTCGCTGGTAGTCGTGAAGCCGTAGCCATTCGAGTCGCCGCCACTGTGAATTTCGCGAGCCGTGCCAAGAGCTCCGCTTCTGCCGTAGAGTTGACTGAATGTGGAGGCACGCAATGCAATGTGTTGATGCCTCATTCCTGTGGGTTTGACAAAGATCTGTGCGGAAGACTGGCGGGTATTGTCTGAGGAAGAGCAGCCGTATACTCATGGTAGATTCGGAGACTCAAAAGCCTTACTCGGTCCCGACTCGTTCGTCTGATGATTATGTAAGTCATCCAGGAGGAGCGGACCAGGGTAAACATTTGTCCGAGACAGAGATACGCTATACCCAGTTTGATCTAGCTCCTTAAGCACAGGCCAGCGGGCTGGCTCTCCAGAGCACGATGGTTGGTAGCTGCGGCAGGCTGAGAGTCGCGAATCCTTGAGGCTGGCGATTTGGAACTGTTCCCCCAATTGGAGTTCATGTCAGCAGCGCCAATTCCCTATCTGGTTCCAGACGTTAGGTGAAACATCAAAATATGGTAGGGAAAGTCAGTGAGAGGGTTCTCCTTCGGGAGGGTGAGTAGCCTCGATCCGTCTGTTCGAAGCATCGAAGCTGACCGCAACGCGCAGGCCTGGAGAGAACCGACAATGGCATGAAGCAGACAAGCTGGCCAGATGTCACGCCCATCAACCAGAAGAACTATTACACGTACGTTCATTCCTGAACCACGATTCCAGCGCCAGGCGCATCGATGCTGATACATACTTGAACGGCAGGGATTATATGAAGCGCGATGATCAGATTCTTGCTCTGCGACTCCAGGGCGATGCCACTCGCGATAGAATCGTGCAGGCAGCGAAGGATAGAGACCGCGCTCTTGCTCAAAGCGGTCGCGCTGAGGTACCCCTCGTCATTCCCGAGCTTCAACCTGAGGAGGCGCCCGGCGATGCTGCCGTAGGCTTGGATCCCTCTAAGGTCATCGTCATCCATCCCGGAAGCCAGAACCTCCGCATTGGTTTCGCCAGCGATGCTCTTCCCAAATCGATCCCGATGACACTTGCGACCAAGTTTCCTCAAACCGAGGCTGAGATGCACGAGGCGCTTCCCCGACGACAGTTCGAAGCGAAGACACAAGACCAACAATACGGGGAAGAGTGGTCCAAGAAGTACGCGAAGATGAGCAACGATCTCAAACTCGACATGCGCGCAAACAAGCGCAAGGTTTTGCCAAACTCAAAGGAGTTGGTGTTGAACTACAATCGCCGTACCGAGCCTGAAATTATCCAAACACATAACGACCCCTTGCAAATCGACTGGACCGATGTCAACGACTTGGAAGACCCCAAGTCTTCTGCCTCCTGCTTCATCGGAAATCAGGCGCAGAGAGTTCCAGACGACTCTCAGCCGAAGTTCAAGCTGTGGTGGCCATTACAACACGGAGTTCTCAACGAAGACGACTACACTAACGCGGAACATCTGTTCGACGATTTCGAGACTCTGCTAGACAAGGCTATCAGACAGGAACTTGGACTCACCAAGAACAGCACGTGGAGACAGTACAGCTGCGTTTTTGTTATACCTGACCTCTACGACAAGAAGTATGTCGAGCAGGTGCTCAGGTCTTGCATGACCTGGTTCGAGTTCAACCGCATCTGCTTCATCCAGGAGAGTATGGCCGCTACCTTTGGCGCCGGATATACACAGGCCTGTGTCGTCGACGTTGGAGCCCAAAAGACCTCAATTACGTGTGTCGAAGACGGTCTTTGCGTGGAAGACTCCCGCATCAACATGAAATACGGCGGTTGGGACGTAACGGAGACATTCGTCAAGATGCTTCTGTACGACAACTTCCCTTACCAGGATATCAACTTGCGAAGAAGATATGACTTCCAGTTGGCCGAAGAGCTTAAGATTAAGCACTGCACCATGTCGCAAGCAGACATCTCGGTTCAACTATACCAGTTCCACTTGCGAGCCCCGAATCAGCCCACGCACAAATACCAATTCAAGACATACGACGAAGTCATTCTCGCCCCCATGGGCTTCTACGACCCATCCATCTTCGACAACAGCACGAAGCTGAGGAGCAGGCGCAAGCTCATTGATAGGTCCTACAACGCTTATGACGTTGATATTCCGGATGACCCAACGTCTGCGGCACAATTTGCGATCCTCGCTCATGTCAAGCCATCGTTGAACGCAGCGCCAACAAACGGCTTCACTCAGTCCCAACCCGATGTTTCCACGCCTGTCAAGGAGAAGCTGCAGCCGTTCGACTTCCTCAAGCGCGACAATGGCATCAACGGCACGCCGTCAGGCTCTAATGCCCCGTCGCCCGCCCCGGAAGGAATCAGCACCCCTGTATCAGCACCGTTCATTTTCGGAGCCAACAAAGAGGGTGCCAACGGAGGCAGTCCTGCTCCGCCTGTACGGAACGGCGGTACCCCAGGGCCGAATGGTACTGTGCCGCCGCAACCACCGGCCGGCATGTTTGTTGATTCAGCGGCGCGCAGCGCGAAGGCGCAGGCCGTTGAACGCGATGCTGTTCTGCCACATGCGCCGCTTGACATTGCCATTCTCACGAGCATTAACAATGCCGCGAAGGGTGACGACAAGAAACTGCGAGACTACCTTGGCAGTATCATGGTCATCGGCGGAGGTTCCAAAACGCCACAGTTCACCGTAGTCCTGGAGGAAAAGCTCAAGGCACGAAGGCCTGACCTTTTCGACCGCATCCTCGTCAGCAGGAGTGCCAGAGACATGGATGAGCAGGTTGTCACTTGGAAGGGGGCCAGTGTCTTTGCCAAGCTCCCCGCCAACGATTCTTGGGTCACTCCGTTCGAGTTTGAGCGACTTGGAGCTCGTGTGCTACATCACAAGGTGCTCTGGGCTTGGTAGATGGGTTAAGGACGGATGCGCCGTGATAAAAGGAACGGTTTGGAACAGCAACGGAGTCAGGGATCCAGCAGGTTTAGTCCATTACTGGCATTTTAGGAGGCAAGGTGTCGAAGATTGCCTGCACCGTAGGCGTTGGGCGTAGTAATGAATTATACGGGAGCCACAGCTTGGGGTAAGTTCTGTAGCCAGGCAAATCAGATACAATGCCCGGCTATCGCAAGAAACGGGTCAGACGTCAAAACACAAAAGTCCGTTGTCGCACTATACCATCAGTCAGCATGCTAGCGATGTCTAAGTGCCGTAGCCGCTGTCGGCGATTCAGGACTCCGAGCTCCAGCGGGTGTCCGGTCGAGTGCGTAATAAGATGGGTACGGTGAGAGTTCCATGTGCGGGCTTATGTAAGGCGGCTCGCCCGGGAAGCAGGGACCTTAGGTGTATGATGCTCACCTGTCCCGCACCCGCAAGCGCAGCTACCCACCCACCTTCTCTGCTAACTCACTCTCTCCCTTGTGATCAACAACAAACAAAAACAACCTTCTCCCCAACCCTTTCCTCGCCATCTCGCACCGCCCACCGCGAGATGTAAGCTTCGGACCGGACGGTGGTCTGCGGCAAAAAGGAGAACACCCTCAATTGCTCAGCACAACACCACTTTCAGCGACTTTCACCATGGCCGTCTTGTCCCGTTACTTGCCCTTCTCCGAGGCGACTACTACACTGCAAGCAGTGACGTACCTCCTCGGAATCTCTCTCTTCTCCATTTCCTTTCTCGTTTTCCTCAACAGCAGCATATCGTTTGTCATTACCGACTTAATTGGCGTCAAGGACGGCGTGGGCGACATCGTCGGTACCCTCGGCTTCGTCGATGAGCTTGTCGCACTCGTCGCATGTCCGGTTTGGGGCCTCGTCTCGGATCGGCTCGGTGTAAGATGGGTGGCTGTAATCGGGTATGCGATCATCGGCGCGGCCTTGATGCTGTTCGTCCAGGCGCGCAACATCTATCCGCAGCTGCTTCTGGCGCGCATCTTCTTCGCTCTCGGCGCGACTGCCGCGTAAGTAGCTTCAACCGAGGTCAAAGGTTGGGATGATGGACTGACGGAGCTTTTCAGGGCGACTATGGTTACAGCGATTTTGCCGTCTCTGACAGATGATAACGACAAGTCTGACGGCTCCGCGAATGTCGCGAAGCCGGTCAACAACCCCCGACACAGCATCGCCATGTCCCTCGAGTCCGACATGACCATCACCCCAGCGCGGTACCGCATCGGAGGAAACGGACAAGCCGCGACAGGGAACGATTTGGATGAGGCGAAAGCTGGCAAACCGTCGGCTCTCGCGGGCTACGTCGGACTGTTCACGGGATGCGGCGCGCTGGTTGCGCTCTCCCTGTTCCTGCCGCTTCCCGCTCGTTTCGGCGAAGTTGACGGCGTAACCCCGGGCAAGGCTGTCGAAGAGAGCTTTTACGTCGTGGGAATTGTCGCATTCGTAGTCGCCATCTTTGTCTTCTTTGGGCTGAGAAACCTGAAGGGCGAGGAAGGCAAGGGTTGGAACGTCTTGTTGGGACTCAAAGCGAACACGAGCTCTGAGGATGATTCCAACGAAGATGGATCAGACCACCCACACCGGCCGGTAAGTCAACTTGCTCCAAATCTGGGACCACACCTAACAACCAACAGAAGGTTCTGCCTTACTTCCGTCTCCTCCGAGACTCTATCACCCTGGGCTTCACCGATTCCCAAATTGCCCTCGGGTATTTGGGTGGCTTCGTGGCCCGCGCCTCGACAGTTGCAATTTCCCTTTTCCTTCCTCTGTACATTAACACCTTCTTCATCGGCAACGGCTTTTGCCATGGATCTCCGAATGATCCAAACCCCGAACTGAAGAAGGAGTGCAGAGCGGCCTATCTCCTGGCATCTATCCTATCGGGCGTGGCGCAGCTACTTGGTCTTTTCGCGGCCCCTGTTTTCGGCTACCTTAACAGAAGGCGCGGCCGCTTCAATGTCCCCATCATCATCGCTACCACTTTCGGAATCGTCGGTTACATTGCCTTCCCTCAGCTACCCAGCCCGGAATACAAGGACGTCGACGGTCGAGGTGGCAGCCCTGTTGTCTTCCTTATTGTAATACTCATCGGCGTTAGCCAGATTGGAGCGATCGTCTGCAGTCTGGGCTCCCTCGGCCGCGGCGTTCTGACCGCTGATATTCCCAAGTCTCAGCAGATTGACACAGTTGAGGACTCGGCAGAAGCTATGGAAACGCCCACAGAAGCTGCGCCACTACTACAGCACAATGCCAGCGTGGATGCCGTGTCGCGAGTGCGACTCAAGGGCTCCATCGCCGGCATGTACTCCTGGTTCGGCGGGGCTGCAATCTTGCTTCTCACCAAGCTGGGCGGCTTCATGTTCGATGCCGTATCCAACGGTGCGCCGTTCTACATGATGGCGTCCTTCAACGCCATCCTTCTCCTTGCTAGCTTGGGCATTGATGCTGCTCGTCTTTACAGAGACAGACAGTAATGATACATATCAATAAACACGAGAATATACTTAACTTACACCGATATTGGTTATCTTTAGCGCAGAACTACCTACTGCGGTCCTACTGTTGAATCTTCTCTTACACGTGACAGTCTGCCTACTCACCTTTTTCAGCTTACAGTCTTGTAACATTCAACCCGCCCACAACTATGAAACAAAACTTGTCTTCAAAGCATCCTAGGAATCCCCAACTCAGATACTCAGTCAAGGGGCATGCGTGGACGCGGTAACAACAACGGCTCAGCATCTTCGGGGATGTCCTCCAGGGGTGTAGAAGTCAGGTTGTATCGAGCTCGACGGGGTCTACGAGTCGATCGCCGCAGCTTCCGGTAAGACCATCGCTCCCATCGCTTGAAGAATCTGTCTTTACGCACCACGCTCCACTGGTCAAGAAACCAGTCATTCACCAGCTTCGGATCCAAGCTCGTGGGTCGCTGAGAGGGAAGCGCCTCGACGCCCTGGAGATCAACGTTCAAATCACTCGGGGCATCATCCTCCCAGGCTTCTTCCAATGTCTCGTTCCAGGGGCCAACAGGCTGCGTTTCAGTAGAGTTAGCAGCGGTGCTCTCGCTGGTGTAGTTTACCTCGTGGAATTCGAGCATCTGACGTCCTGACTGACCACATGCGTGACAGACCGACTGGCTGCTGCGCTTGAACAGGCGCTTGAAGCGAGTGCGGAAGCCGTCTTGCTTCCGGGCAGCTCTGCTGTCGATGCAGTAGGGGCACTTGGTAGGGACTGTCTGCAGAACCAACGGGTGTCCGGCAGGAGGTTGTTTTCGGAGAGGCATTCTGCTGGTGATCTCGACAGGTGACTGGGACTGCTTTTCCCGACTGGAGTCGCTTGATGATTCGGAATGTGAAGCAGGAATCTGGAGTCGATCTTATATAATTTCACCTGATTCTGTTTTCTCTGGGAAAGGGGCTGACTGACCTCTCGCGGGCCTAATGATAAAGGATGAGGACAATCCCATTGCAGAGACTCCGAGTGTGTTTCGCAATCTTTGAGATGGATCCCATATTGTCCTAGCCCTTTGTTCCGCTAAACAAATGCTCGCTTTATGCCTTGATGGCCAGTGGAAAAAGAGGTCGGGTTTTGGGACCTCGGGGCCATGGGTCTCTGGGTTGCTGAGTATTGTTCAGGCGGTCTTGTTGCCAAGACCTAAAGCTTCGACGTGGCTGTTGGTGTAGGCCAGATGAAAGTTTTCTTGGCGGCGGCCATGAACAAAAGTTTTGTTTGCTGGTTTCGTGCTCTCCATTGTCGATGACAAGATGAGATCACAACCTGGTTCTGACAGAAGCCAGGAAATCATGACGATGTTGCGCTTTCTCTTGAGAGCTTTCCCATTGGCATACACGCAAGGTGCCCAAAATTTGAGACCGGGTACATTTCCTATGTACTTGACTACTCCCATTGAAGACGATGAAAAGGTAGAGAGGTAAGGTAGCGATGATAGATGACAATGGTCGAAGTAGTAATGAAAGCGGCGACGACGACGATACAGTTAACAGTATGTAAGGTAAAGTAAACAGTATATAAGACAACCACAGAAAAAGTAGTCGCTGGAGCGCAGGAAAAATAGGCGGTCTGCAGACTTCAGAAGGCACGGATCACACGCAGAAGGGGTTTATTTGTTATGTAATCTCGGTTTGTTCAGCAACCAAATACATTTGAATGCACCGGCTGAACAGTACGTTTTCACCAACGAATGCACAACCATATAAAGCAGACATCTCCCTCGCGAGAATGCCGATCGATTCCAGACATAGCTCTCAAGAGAATTCTGATCGACTCCAAAGATTCCCCTCGCGAGAATCCGGATCAATTCCAGACATCCTCAGCGACGATGTCTAATGCTAGGGATACGAAGCAGAGCGCGTCTCTAAACGCCGGGGCCTTCAAAAGGGTGCTTATCCTCACAACAGTCTGGATCACAACAAACAGATATTTCCGCCGATACATCTGTAAATCGCCACAAAGCCTGGTTTCAAAGTTTGGTCTCTACATCAAGGTGAAGCCCTACGCGAGTCTGGGCGAGGCGCACGCTCTGCAGTTCATACACCGACAAACCTCGATCCCGGTTCCCCGAGTCTCTTGCGCGTTTATTCACCGGGGGAAAACCTACATCGTGATGACGAGGATCGACGGAAACATGGCTTGCATGGGCTGGGTACAGCGATCGGAGGCGTCCAAAAAGCAGATTCTCGACCAGTTGAAGGATATCGTCTGCCAGTTGCGCGGTATCCCATCGCCATCTGGAGGAGCGGGAGTCTCTAATGTCGATGGAGGGCCTATATGGGACTGCCGGTTGCCGTCAAAGGAATTTTGGGGGCCGTTTGCTGCAGCCAAGGACTTCCACGGAGAACTCGTTCAACCTTTATCCCTGGAAGCTGACGGTGGAGGCCACTTTGCAGATATAAATGAGTTGTTGGACTTCTACCGCCATTGGGATGACAGCTTGGTGTTTGCTCATGGAGACCTCAGCAGCCTGAACGTGTTGGTCCGGGGCGACGATGTGGTGGGCGTCATCGACTGGGAGACCGCGGGATGGCTGCCCTCATATTGGGAGTATTCTTCTGCGTGGCATGTGAACCCTCAAAATCAGTTTTGGCAGCAGGAGGTCGATAAGTTCGTGGCACCTATGCCACATGAGCTCAGGATGGATCAGATTCGTCGCAAATACTTTGGCGACTTTTGAGCTGATGCTCAGGTTGATGGTTTTGTCCAGGTCAGCACCATGGAGATGCGCTGGGAAGACCTACCAAATCGAGTTCACCTGGTAGCGACATGAGGGCATAGCATCGACGGGGCGAGGCGACGACAAACCCCAGCTAACTCGTTATCGCCAGTGTTATTCGACTAGTTGAGATGCTCCAATTCCGTGTCTCCCAGAGGTACAACACCGGTCACCGGCTCTCCGTCCTTGGACCCAACATTGCCATATCGGATTTGGAGCTCTCTCAACGTTTTTGACAAGTCCCCTCCATCCAAAAGATCAGCCTTGGGCGGGAGATCAAAGTACTTTGAATCGCGGAATATGGTTGATATGTAACCAAAGATCTCAGGCCCCCTTGCCCGATGTTTGAAAACCACTCCCATTACACCCGCAGCGAGGAGAACAACACCCGACGACAGGCAAACGGCTGCCCACACATCTGATATTTGGACCACAACCACAAGCTCCCTCAACTCAGCTTGGACAGTCTCGTTCGACCGGGAGACCACGTTAGCCGAATCTTTCCTTTGAGCAGACCCTCTTCCTGCGATTTCGAAAGACAGTTGGCTCACGGCCAAGAACGTGTTGAGAAGCTGAGCTAGACGGATCTGCAGTGTCTCGGCGGTGTAGGACTTCATAAACGCCCTCTCGTCGGATTTCATACCCCTGAGAGTCGGGTCCTGGAGGTAGTAGAGCGAAAAGTCCGCCTGGTAGTTGACTGAGCCCCCGACTACGAGCGGTAGTCTCTGCGACAGGAGGTTGAACACCTTTGGGAAGGATAGGTGCCGTTTGGCATCCGGAAGATCTTGTCCTTGAGATCCTCCGCAGACGAGGCCGCCGTATCCATCATTGAATGGTTCAAATGTGCAAAGAAGCCCTCAGGTGCCTGGTTACCAGTAAGAACAGTTGCATTGTGGCAGCGGAGGTCAAGATAGCTGGACTCCACGGTAAAGGTCGTGTTGCCACTATCAAGATTGCTGATTGGGATACCAGCCAAGGAAGAATACTCGATCTCGCTAGAATTACTGGGCAAGTCTCTCCATTCGTTCTCAGTGTGATTCAAGAACGGTATCCTAACGTTACCCCACAGGTCCATGGTGTCGAATTTCGTAGCTTCCGGCGTAGTGACAAGAGTCGCATACAGAGACGTCAAAGAGCGCATACCTGGAGTAGGGCCGAATGACCCTGTTGAAAAGAGCTCCTGCCACTTGACGAGCCTACTCCTGGCATCGTCGTCGAAGTAGGTGATAGTTATATCCTTGACTCGCGGCTCGTTTCGTCGGGATTCCATCCTCAGCAGGCCCTGGGTTCCAAGAGGAGAGAACGCCCACGTGATAAGCAATAAGATGCTTAGTAGATTGAATAAGCCGAAGCTGAATAGGGTCATGACAGTCGAGCCAACTGTTTGACTACCATTCAATTGTTCGAGAAGCCCCACGGTTGCTCCCCGCTCTAGCTTCCAACGCACGATCTCGGACATCAATTTGCCTGTAATGCCCGCAAACAGGATTGGGAAGGTACTCGCAAGCTACAGTTTCAAATCTTTATCACAATGCTCATCCTGTGTGCAGGAAAAGCCCCCATTTGAAGGCTCGACTTACGTATCGAATAGCGTCTTCCCGTAACTTCTCGAGGCTGTCCCCGCTTGGAGATCCGTTTAGACGCCACAGCACAACTACAAACACTGTGAATGCAAGCGGGAGGGCGATCGAAGCGCCGTCTTTTGGAACGCTGGAAAACTTGGCATGGCTCGATCGCTGCACTTGGCGAGCGGGTTCTTCTTCATCATCGGTGATGCGTACGTAGGTTTGGACTTGAAGTGACTTCCGATGTCGTTCCTGTGGTTTTTAATGTTGTCGCTACGGACTTGGTAGCTGAGACAATTGAGTCTGTCAGTCACAACTTTTTTTTTCTTCTGCAAAAGTCGATTATGGTCGGACTTGCCTTGATGATACATGCACACGAGACTCTACGTTCATGTTGTGACTTGCAGCCAACGAGCGTTGTGTCAGGGGAGATGAATGCTGCCGAAGCTGCTGGAGTGATTTGACTCATGCAAGAAGACTGTACGAACTTCTTCCGACATCAACGCCCAAGTATATTAAATTCAAGCTATTCTGGACATTGCCAGGCGACCAATGCAGGGTCTCACGGATATGAGCCGTCGCCAAGTCCAGCCTGCTTGATGTTGCAACAGCCCAATGCACAGGACCAACGCCCATTGGCAAGCGCGATACGAACAGATAACGCTTTCCAATAGTTCAAAGCGAGTTTACTCATTTGAAACTCTTGTGTCCGGTAAAATGTATATTGTTATTCTACTGTCCTACCTGGCTTCCGGCCCGCTTACGACGCACACCAACCCGGACTGTGTATGCACGTTGCCAGTGGCTTGAATCTGCATCGACTCCTGAACACAGCCTGATACGTGCATCTGTTTAGCCTGCCTTAATCGTGATATGCCTCGTACTCGCAGACTTGGTCCCGTCATTGCGGTTACCTCCGGACCGGATGCCGGAGAGGTGGGACCATTGCTACCGGCCGCCGACTTTGGCGGTGGTGGGGCCGGAAAGGTTCGATGCGGACGATGCGTCGCAGCAGCGGAAGCCTAGAAGGGAGACGCAGGCAATCGGATCATTACTGTTACTCGACGTTCAACTTTTTGCTCTTTTTGGCGTGATGAAGTTACGTTCGCGGTTGGAAGCTCAAAATCGTGAAAGCCGGGAACGGTCCAACAACCTTCAACACTGCCGAGGCTTCTCCTCGTTGATGGTCCCACGATATACCAATCGAATTTCCAAAACATTTCATAGCCCACTCAGCCAGGGGTTTCACGGTAGGGGCAAGCTGTAGTCCGTCTAGTGAGCTGAGCTGTGTATAAGTTCTTTACAGCTGCCGCTCTAGCTTAGTTCTCCCACCGCCAATTATGACCTAACGGTGCCGTGCTAACATGTCAGACCTCTCTGCCGTAATTCATGATAAGCACATACAAACCTCTAACTATGTGTTTGCTGAGTGATGCGGGCTATGATGAGCATCACTTATTCCACTCTCCGAATATACCCCTAGAAATACACCGGGACCAGAGAAGAGGGACGGAAACAATGCAAATCAACGCATGATCAGAAAACTGGAGAGGTCCAATGATCCAATCCAAGTCACGCCATGGCGGCGAACGCAGCTTCTGAGCCACCAACGACAAGGAAATAACGCATTTGGGCGAGGAAAATTGGCCTTGCGTTGAGGACGATTTGAACAGTTAACATTGAGGGTTTAATGGGCGTCTAGTACCATCTCAACTCAGATTCAGCGACTTGATTACATGCACAATCTCATCAACATTCCCTTGCCCAAAAATTGGACTTGAAGCCATCATGGACGAGGTGTCGGTGATGATCAGCCGCGCAAAGCCCCGTGGGCCAAAGTCGAGCTGATGCCTCGTATTAATAGTCCTCCGCTATCCTGTCGACCTCAACCTAGGCAATTCCGACCTCTGGGACCATCTGACACTGCCAAGCGCGAGAACAATCTTGGACATCGCCTTCAGGACCTGCACTTGTGCCGCGAAGCGCGATGTCTACTTCTTTCACTCAACTTGCATCGGTGCCGTCCAAGTATACAAGTGGGCATCAGTCAAGGATATCAAGGGAATGAATGCGTGTGGTAAGGTCTTCGTCGGAGGTTCACATGCTGTAGAAGCTCGCGCTGAAAGGAAAACTCAGCCTGAACCAAGCGCTTCTCACTTTCGACGGTTCAAACTTCCACGAGAACCCAAGTAAGCCCAGCGGATTTGGCAGAGTACAGGAACTCATCTCTTCAGAGGACCTCTTTATCCGATGATTGTGCTCTTACTGAAGCTACTTGAGTGTCAGTGCCTGTCGCAGGCGGCTTACTTTATCTCCTAGAATGATATGGCATCCTTCAGCTCAACGATACACGGACACCTGCTCATATCGACTTCCAGGAGCAAGTTGTAAGCGTAATCCGATGATCAGTCTCCCACGGCCGGTATGTTTCAGACCCTAGGCATTCTATTTTGACGAGTGCTTATCCAGCCCTTGGTATCCTGCCTTGGCGTCTTCCGAGTATACCTTGAGTAGTTGCTTAGAAGCCATGTCATGGAAATGCTGTGAAAGATCATAACACCTACAACGCACCCCGGCAGCCTTGGAGGGCTTGGTGACTAGACAATCGAATGCTCACAACCAAGCTTCATCGTGCTCTGTGGTCTTGCATAAGAGCATCCGCGGGTTGCCTTGTTATATCTACAACTTGATGAACACTTAGACGATGCAAGTCCTCATGAAGCAGCGTTGGTAAAGCATCCTTTAACAATCCAGGCCCCGTTATGACGTTGCTGATACCACATAACGCGTACACCTTAACCATTGCAGCAGACCGGGCCGGAAAGCAGTGAAAATCATGCAAAGAGACCATTTTTGACTTTTTGAACGATACCGTTCCTTGAGTACCTAGATGAGAAAAAAGCCTTTCATTCATTGTGCAACGACCAGAAATTCAGCCGGCCCAGTCCTCGGAAGCCATGTGACGCAAAACCATCCTTCTTCAATTTTCCCCGAAAACTGGCCCTTCCCTTCCGTACCCATCGTTGTTGGCTAGAGCGGAAACATGTGTCGAGGCACATTTCTTGCCTGTATGTTGGCAGATCTTAGGTGGCATAACTTATTTGCCGCCGAGGCTGGGGAAAGCAGACTCGTCCTTGGTGTTGATGGCAGCAGAGCCGCCGCGGGGGGCACCGCCACGGGGAGCACCGCCGCGGGGAGCACCACGGGGGGCACCACCACGCTGGCCGCCGCGCTCGCCACGGTCGCCGCCACGGGCACCACCGCGGGCACCGCCGCGAGGACCACCACGGCCGCCACGGGGGCGCTCAGGCTCGACGTAGCGCTGGTCAATATCCAGGAGCTGCTTGGTCTTGCGCTCACGCTCACGCTTGGTCTTGCCTCCGGTGCCGATCATGAAGTTGTCCTCCTCGTCGCGGGAGACCTCCTTGACGTTGGCCCACTCCTTCTTGAGCTTGGAGCCCTCGTTGGCCTTGCGGACCTCGAGGCCAGAGTCAAGGGCGAGCTTCTTCTCGGCCTGCTGGGCGAGGTAGTCGGCGTAGGAGATGTTCTTGTCCTCGGGCTCCTCGGGCTCGACGGGGGCGGCAGCCTCGGCCTCGGCATCCTTCGCCTCGGCCTGAGCGATGGCCTCGCCGGCCTGCTCATCCTTGCGCTCGGCATCACCCTCAGTAGCACCCCAGGACTGGGCAGCCTGCTTGTCGGAACCGCCGCTGTGGTGGGTTAGCTTTGAAGCTGGCATGACGGGACGGGGAGGAATTACGTGGCCTGGCCCTTGGTGTGTCGGTCGTCGCGCTCACGGGGGAAACGGCCGCCGCGACCTGTTCGATGTTAGTCAATGGACCGAGTCTCGGCCGCCATGCGCGAATTGCTCGCGGCAGGCGACGACGGGGCGAGCACGAACCTCCACGGACGCGGGCACCGTAGCCGCCACGGGAGCCGCCTCTAGCAGACTCCTCGGTGGTCTTACCACGGTTGCGGTCGCTGCCGGCACCACGGTCACGGAAAGCTGTCGACAGAGTTGGGTCAGCGAACCGAGCCACAAAGCGGGGTCGAGGTTGCGTCTCCTCGGGAGGAAAGACGGCAATGGAGGTCAAACGTACCGGCCTCGTTGCCAGAGGCGTTGTTGCGGCGAGCACCGGTGTTAGCGGCGGCGCGCGAGGGGGCCTCAGGCTCGGCGTTGCGCTTGGTAGAACGCATGGTGGACTTATCGACCGTCTTCACGGGCGCCTGAGGGGTGTCATCCTCGGCATCGTTGCCTATCATAAGGGGTTAGGGCATGTCCAGACAGCGAGGGATCATTCGTCGGAGGGATCGCAATCGAGGGTATTCATACCGAGGAGCTCGAACAGGTTCTGGGAAGCATTGTCAGTATGGGATTCGACGATGGACGACGAGGTGGTGAAAAATTGTGACCGACGCCGACAACAACAGGATTCCGGAAATTGACGGCAACAACGACGACGCACACAATGGCGAGGTCAAAATGACGACGAACAGAGGAATTGAAAAAGGTCGGGAGGGACAGAACCAGAGGGCGAGCTTACCTTGCTTGCGACCGACATCTTGTCGCCTGGATTGTGGTGAACAATAGCGACCTAGTCTAGGATGTGATTTGGGGTAAAGAGGCAGGTTAGAACACCATGACCTAGCGACTGGTGATGATGCTCGATAGGGAATATGGGACCAATTGGTGCCGGTGATGTGACGATGGGGAGAGAGGTGAAGAAACTGCGCGCAACGGGGCACCGTGGGCACTGGCTGGGGTTTCCGGGAGGAAGTTGGGACAAATCACAGCGCTGCGAACCGACCAAGCACGGAGCAAATTAGGTCATGTAGCCAGGGCACGCAGGGCAAGAAGGCAGCCCGGGGACCAATGGCAGCCCGGTACCGCCCGCTGGACGCAGGACAGGGCACACAACACGCACCACTTTGACACGCAGATGAGGGGCACCTGGCCCCCAGACCTCGCACTGTGCCGACTGCCCTGTTGCCCTGTACCCGTCCGTGTGCCAGCCGCTACAACCACCGCCCGCTGCCAGTCTTTTTGGTGTGTGAGATCATCGCCTGGCTGCTCTCGCTTAGGATTTACCTCCATTTTTGTGTGCTATTTTCCGGCCATTTTTTAGGGTTCTAGACGCGCCCTCCCTCCTGCCTCCCTTCCCGTCCCTTCCCTTCGTACCAAGCCTACCTAGGTACCGGTTCCCCTCACCTTGGCCTATTTTTCCGAATGCCGGTGAACTCTACCTTCAGTTTGGTCGGAGTCGGAGCCCAGCTCCCTTCCTCGGTCAATCTGCTCTCCCGATCCCGGAATCTCATCAAAGGTCCCGTGCCACTCGCTTCAACCGATGGGTCGTTTTCACAACCAACAGAACCGACTTCGCTCCTACCCCTCGCATTCGAATCCAGGTTGCGAAAAGGAGGGGCGGCATGCTCGGCTCGTTTCCAATGGCCCCTCCCCGCCGCCGCTGAAGGAGGAGCTCCATCCGGAAACCAAACCGAGCACACACAACGCCAAACTCTCATCCGCGAATGTCGGTCGTCCCGGGCCCTGGTCGTCGCCCGCAATGCTTGCTACCTGCTGCCTGCTGCCTACTGCTCAGCGCTGCCACCCGCAATCGCCAACGCCCCGTTTGCATCGGACCTGGCAGGCGAGGAAGCTCGGTGCTTCTGTCTGCGGAGCTCTTGAAACCACACACTCTGATTGAGGCATGCCGCTTTTCGGATGCAAGATGCAGGCTAAGCCTCGGTGGCTACCCGACGGCGGCCAGTGTCATCTGAGCGCGAGGCTCCACAGGGCTACAAAGCTGGGGAAAACTCAATCCGCAACTGGCGCTGCGTTCGACAAGGTACTTACACGCATCTCGCAGATGACACCCGTTGGGTCTTCCCGGGGTGATATCCTACTCGTTGGTTTGCTGCTGAACCCTGGCTTTGGAAATCTTTTGTGAGATGATGCGATTGAGTTGTACAGCAGGCTGCTTGCTCTCGCGTGATTTGTAGAAAGAAGTTGTCGCGTGAATCAAGTGCCACCAACTCAGTGCTTCCCAATGGCGCTGGATACCTACATTTGCTACTAATACCAGCATGACTTGTGGACATGTCCGAAGCAATGCAAGCTGAGGCAGTAGACGCGATCCCATTACATATGGCGTAATATTGTTCTTGATGGCTGCAAACACAATTCTGCTTGCTAAGATCCGTTATCTGTTTGCCGGACTCCCAAATCAAGTTACTAAATGACCGCAGAACCATCCAATGGCTACCATGATGAGCCCACGGCTTTAACCCCAAAACGCCTCTTTTTCGTTGTTTGGCTCATATAAGCCCTCTTTTCCTGCCATCCCGTCCGAGAAATATTATGTTGTCGCAAGTCCTCTCTTAAGCTTCAGATCTCTGGTTAGGAGTCATTCCCATCCTTTTCCATCTTGCGGAAAACTGCGGTCTTTGAGCCCGCTAGTTCGTATCCGAGTAGACGAACATCGACAGCCGGATAAAAGTGTGCAGCGACAACTTGTATTGCTTGGCCAACTCGCGCAAGGGCGAAAGCTTGGCCTCTTTTCTGGAATCCTCGTCGGGAAGTATGAACCTGACTCCCTTCGTGTGGTGACTGGTCGAATGGGTTGCTACCGGGTAAAGAATGTCCGAGTTTTGCATTGGCTTGCACTTGGATAGACCAGAAAGGAAGCGCCGTGTCATATTCTGCCTTTCGGTAGGACTTTGGGGGAAGAAGTGATTGTCGGGATCCAGTGAAGTACACTCCATTCTCTCCAAGAAGGCGTCAAAAAGCTCCATTGTCGCCCGCTGCCCAATCTTGCCGGCGAATGCCACGGCCCGGTGGATGGCCGCAGGGTGAATGTCAGGCTGCCATTCCAGACGCAGATTATCCTCCCATAGACGTTTCATCGAGAGAAGTACTAGGACGTCTCGGAGGTAGCCTCGAATGGTGTAAAAAGGCTCCTTGTTACGCTCACGCTTCAATACGTATCGATCGAAGCGAAGATTAGGTGAGGCCCAGGCTGAGAACCGTTGAAGAAGACGGAGGACCTCGGTTGGCTCCTCCTCCGAAAAAGGTGACGAACCCCGGGTGTCTTCAGCCTCCGCGTGTTCCAGAAGACCTTGGACGTCTTCCCAAGACTCATGGTTATTGAGGATGGCGTTCGCCTTGGCCACCATGTCAGGCGATATGACTTCTTCAAATCGTTGAGATTCGCCTTCGTCGCGCAAAGATCCCAGCCAGGAGATTCTTGCAGCATCAACAAGCATCTCAGATCGGCAGTAGTCACCGTCGTTCTCTCCCAGAACTTTGGCAAGATAACGCTCAATGTCCCGCTCTTCGCTGTCGAGGTCGTCCCCGCTCCTCTTTGGTCGCCATACTTCAGGCTCGAGCTCATAATTCAGTATCAGAAGCCGCTCCCAAAACTCGCGACACAACTCAAATTCTGCATAAGAATTTTCAGGAGTGCTGGTGGCAGGTGATCGCATGGCAGGCGACTGAGGTTGCTTGAACACTATCATGGCTGTCGTATCTTCCTCCAGCCGCCGTGTCTATCTGTATTGGCGCCTTTTCTAATCTCATCTATGTGTTGAGATGAATGACTCTAATATGTTATGGGTCAGTCAAATTTGAAATGTCTTTGATAAACATACTCACCGATTAACAATATCGCTTTGCTGGAGATAACAGAAGCAGTATGAGGAGAGCAGAAATATTTAGGAAGTTTCGATTCCACCTAGGGAAGAAATAGAAATCGCGATTGGCTCTTTCAGAAACCCGATTTTGAAGTTGCAGCCGATAGCACCATAGCGACTTCCCTGAGGCGACCTTGTAATATATTGAAAGAAACAACGGGAAGCCGCGATCTTCCACTTGGTTTCTAAAGCCAACTAGTTTTGATTTTGCAAGGAAGTTGCGTGTCTTGTACTGCAGAGTTTAGTCCACAACCACCGATCCAAGGCTTGTCACGCAAGTCCTCATTGATAGACAGAAATTAGGACACAAGTGCTATTTTACATAAACAACATCTAAATCTCGACGATATAGCCATTACACCGCTTCAGAAACCAACATCCAAACGACATGCCGCTTGTAAGTCACGAACCCCACCACCCACGAACCTCCCAAAACGGAAAGAGCACCTTAGTCATCAGGGAACACCCTAGCGCCTGAACCTGGGCCACCCCCGGTCACCACGCGAACCCCACACTGGAGCCAGCCCAAGCTCCTGAGCCCGGGCTGCCTACAAGGGCTGCTTACTCGCTCCGCAGCGTCGCATCACCAGCTCCGACTGATTCGCCAGCATGGCCAAGTGGTAAGGCATCGCACTTGTAATGCGGGGATCCTGTGTTCGATCCACAGTGTTGGCATGAGCAGTTCTCTTTTTGTCTTTTTCGGACATATCATGCGGTCGCGCAGATGCCGATTGAACTGTTTTTTTGTCGATGCAATTCTTGGTTGGATGCGTTTTTGGGGAAAGCATAGTTCATCCGGTGTACATGTGTCCATCGCCAAGCGGGGAACTTGGATGCAATAAGATGTGCAGCACCATCACGCGCTGATAACTAATTATCTGGACTACCGTAAGTTTGGTGCGCTGTCTAGGATGCGTTCTGCGATATTTTTGTTATGTCAAACTCATGATTTTGGGATTTTCTCAGTAAGTTGGAACAACAACACGCATCGCCGGCAAAGTCCTTAAGTTTACCGGACATCAACACCGAATCTCCTTCAGAGCTTCTGGCATTACCATTAACCTATGAGTGCAGGATGCAAGAATGTAATCAACCCACACCCTCGTCGATTTTCTTTTACATGCGGACATCGTTTGTTCTCCCATAATACTTACGCAGGGAGGAGCTCACAGAAGACCCAGCCTTCTCTGGGACAGAATCCGAAAACTGAAAGAAACAAAACTTATTGACGATCTGCATGCTCCTGCAGGTGGAAAAGTGAGCGGCATCTTGAGATCTTGGATCCATGCTTTTTGTTGCGCAAACATGGTAAATACCCCGAGCCTCGTGGCTCCCTTGCAGCTCGATTCTGCAAAGTTGTTTGGTACATCTGCTGGTTTCACACCACTTTGAGACTCTGTTTCTGCCCTGGACTTTCGATATTCATGACCTTTCGGTACTCGAAAAAGTGGCAACCAAGTCCCTTGCTTCATGTAAACCGCACATCACCATCAAAGCACGAGGAATGTGAGAAGAAAGATGTAATAAATCCAATATTATTTTTCCATTAAGATACTAGCCATTAGATATAATTATTTACCCTAAAGTCGTCTAAGGAGTGTAAGAATGAGGCCATGCAATTCATTAAATCCAAACTCCGTTCATCCTTTTATGCATCGCCACGATGCTGCTCAAATGAGAGTTGAGGTGCAGCTTAGTAGCCGCCGGCGAAGACGCCGCACTTGTTGGAGACAAGGACGTTCTTGTTCTCGGCCAAGCAGTCCTGATACTGGATCTTGCACTTGTTGAGAGCGACAGTGAAAGTGTCGGCGAAGAAGAAGCGCTTGGCGATATCGGGAGCAGAGGAGTAGCCACCACCGCTGCGGCGGTTGTT